CTCAAATGACGATGACCGGACGGAACCTCCTACAAAAGGGCTTATTTGCACTTTTTTGATTAGTTCGAGGGCTTATTTGCCCCTTTTCCCTATATAATACTATGTACTCCGTATATATTAACCTTTACTTTTAATAAATGAAATAGTCTGTTGACTCATACTTTGAACTTTTATTGGTTATTTATCTAAGCCGATTTCAGTCAAAATAAATAAATAAATAAATAAATGAAATAGTCTGTATATTCTTTATTTATTGGTGACATATATGTAGAATTTGCAACAATATCTAACTCACACTTAAACCTATTCCATACTCCGTATTCAGTTTAAATTTATTCCCATTTTCAAATCTTTAGGTAGTTAGTTCTCTCTTCTCTCTAAACAGAGAGGACACTAGCGGGTGTATCCCCTTTTTGTAGGGGTTGAGATTTTTTGCCGCCCCTATCAACAGGGGCGGATCCAAAAAATCTAACCATTGGGGGCACCTATTTAGTAAAAGTGATTTTTTTAATAACTAAACATAAATTAACTTCAAAAGACGAAATAATCAAATATGAGGAAGACGAAAAATATTACATGTTACAACTACTCTCGATGAGTTTTTATATTTTGAAAACGATCCATCACAACTTTGTTTTCATTTTAGAAATGTCCTCTATCACAATAGCGTCATTTCCAGCTTGATTGTCATAGTTATCTCTATACAAATAGCAACACAAACAAAATGCTCTGTGCTATTTGACACTTTACCAATTCATGTGTTGATCAAACCAAGAAGGATTTAATAGGTGCAATTTTTTGTCTATAATTTTCTGAGGAAATTCATGGTCACGAGGTTGGCAAGGTCCCCTAAGTTATTTATTATCACATAACTTTCTCCAACATCTCCATTTTGATTTTTCCAACATCTCCATTTTGATTGGATGGAGGTAGTGTTTTTAATTTAAAGCATTGTAGTACCATTGTTTAATTTTCCCAAACAATAATAAAAATTATTGATATGAAGTGAAAAACATTTTTAAATTATATTATTCACTAACTAAAATGAAATAAAAAATACTAAATAGTAATTACTAAGCATATTTAGACATATATCTAACACTAAATTCCATAAATTCAAATTTCCGGGAGAACTCATCCCTAATATAGTTAATCGGTAATACATGCACATCCTAATAAAGGAAAAACTAAAAATACAAGTTTAAAATTTGGCTCTGGACTCTAACAAATTGAGCAAAGAATTGCACAATTGCAACTAACTAAAAAGAATAATAATTAACTCAAAATCACACAATTACTTTCAGTAATAATTATCGAAATAGAAAATAAACAATTTTTAAATAAACTATTAAATCACGATAAAAAAATAAACTGTTAAATTGTAACTGGAATTTTCTAATTCAGGAAGCAAAATTGTAATAAGAATAACTAAAAAGTTGACTAAAATCCTATTATACTAACGAGAAAAATGGACAAAGTAGGAGAAGTTAAATATCAGGCTTCTTTAGCAACTAAATTATTAAAACAATAGGTTGAATAATTAAATAGGACCGACTGACCATGGAATAGAAAGGCCCTATGGTTTGGCAAAAAGATTAATGGGGGCATTCTGTTTTTTTCATTGGGGGCACTATTCTATTTGTATTTAAAAAAACAAAAATTAACAAGTAAAAGGACAAAGTCATTGGGGGCATGTGCCCCCAACCATTGTAAGATGCATCTGACTCTGCCTATCAATATGGGGTTGGAGCGACAAATTATACTGATTTTAAGTGTTCTAACGCTTGTAATTGCAATTACGTTGGAGGCGATAGCGGTGGCGGATGAACAAGATGTGGTTGAGACGTTGTATCGAGACGAGATCGTGAAGCCTTGATCGGCCATTCCGACGGTAGTGGAGTTGCTATTCACCCATATTGTAAGAGCTCATCCTCCTCCAGAACCACCTCCATACCAGGAAGAGCTTTGTGGAAAGATTTTATTTCAGTATTATTTTTTCTTCAGTAGCACTTGTTGTTGTTTTAGTCAGAGTAGATTTGGTTTGAATGTTTGAATTTTTGGAGTTCTTTTGATAGGTAGGGTTTCGGCTCCGATCGTTTTAGGCCTAAATTTGTCCGTCTCAGGTTTAGCGAGTCATGTTGCTTTGAATGAGGTGACTGACTCTAAGTCTACTCCTAGGGTTTACGATTGGATCTGTAAAATTCAGTATGAAGGTTCTCTTGTTATATTCTCAATTTTAATATAACGGCCGCTCTTTTATGATAAAAAAAATCTTTAGGTAGTTTGATGTCCTTTTGATCGAATGACGTAATTTTAGACATTTCATTTCATGGAATTCAATAGCATTTATTTACCAGTGACCTATGTTGCATAGAAACGCGAAAATCATGAGGAAACAAGAAACCGGGAAACATCAAATTTTACTCAAAAAGACTTGTTCGTAGAGTTTCAAAAGAGTTTTCGTAGAGTTTCCCAAACGAAAACGTACTCTTTTTCGAGAGTTTCCATGCTGCATAGCTGGTGACGTTGTGACAGATATGTAGAACAAACCACATTATGTAACTCAAGTTAAAACTATTTCATTTTCGGTTTAACTTTATCTCAATCCAATTTTTAAGGTAGTTTGATCATTAATTGACGTCCTTTTGAATGTCTAATTTTAGACAATTTACGTCATGGAATATTGGAATTCACCAATATTTGAAAACAATGATTGGGTATTAATTCGGTCAAAACAATGCAGTGCATGAATAGCATGATATGATGAGTTTTTCCCAGAATAATGCTAATTAAATAAATATATCCAAAAATAATGCTGGGTTAAGAATAATTCCCGAAATATTGTTGGGATTAACCACGGTTAAGGAAAGCCGCCACTCCATGTGGCGGCTCTTGTATTGTTGTACAAAAGACGCCACTTGGAGTGGCGGCTCTTATACACGGTACAAAAGCCGCCACTTGGAGTGGCGACTCTTGTGTTAAGTAAGTCCCTGAACATTTTGTTAAATGAAAAAACCTGCAATCACCCGACAATCTGCTCATCACACTCCATTCCACTCAAACAAACAACCAAACATCTAATTTACTAAGACAAAATATATGAAATGGGATGCATTACTAAGACAATTACATATATGAATGGATAATCCTTCAACTCCTTCACACCTACATTCTATAGGTCTACATTCAAATGCAAGTGTAATAATATATATGAAACACAAAATAAATCAATGAAATTACATTGCAGCACAAAACTTGAAATAACACATAAAAGTTATAATAAATCCGATGTTTCACAAATGATTCGATCTACCAGTGCATGTTTCAACTTTCACACAATAATTTAAATACAAATATCATAAGTCAACGTGATCATCATCATCATCATGAAGATCATGTGGTTGTGGTTGTGCTCGTGGTCGGGGGCGCATGCACTGGTTACGAGGCTGAAGAAGAACTCTATCACGTCGTGCTGCTTGAGAAGATGATGATGATCACGTTGACTTATGATCTTAAATACGTTTTTAGTCCCTGCAAATATGACTTTGTTTTAGGTCCCTGAAAAATATTTTTCTTGTTATTCATCTCTGCAATATGCACTATTTTGTTTTAAGTCCATATCTAATTTCGAACTACTCTACTTACTACAAAAAGTTATTGTTAGGTACCTAAATCTACTAAAATTATATAAATCTGTCCTTTTTATAATTTTTTGAGGCTAAGGTGAGAGTTAAAACAATTAAAAACTAGGTATTCACATTTTAAAAATATATATAGAAAACCTTCTAAAAACTTGAAGCTGATTTATTTACATTTCAGGCTTCGGGCGGTGCGATAATGAGGAACGGCGAAGGGAATTGGTTTTTGCTCTATCTTTCCCATTAACAGTGTCTTTGAGTCTTGAAGTTGAGCTCTACATCCAAGTAGGAACAGATTCTATTGTGGCCCTGAGTTACATCCTGAACAATGGAAGAGGAAGATGGAGAGATGCGCCAAAGGAAATGTTATTCTTTACTTTTAGGAAAGAGGTCGAATTTGGGTCGGTGAAACGTGAAGGCAATTGGTCTGCTAATCACTTGACGGTCCAATTCGAAGCTCAATGGCAGGTTTTTCAACAAATAAGTGATCTTTCGGGCTTAGCAAAGAAGGCATACTATGTGGATCTTTTTGGCCTTCTTAGCTTTAGACTTTTATCTAACCGGTTAGACCCCGTTAGATTGTTTTTTATTTATGTCGCTTTAACGCTTTCTTTTTGAAAAGATATGTCTTCTCTAGAGAGGTCTTGGCTAAGTCCTTCTCTCCTTTTGTATTCATTCGTTCTTTTTAATAAAATCCGGTAAATGTTCCTCGGTATTTACCCCACTGGTATTAGTGATTTATCTTTCGGGTTAAAAAAAGCCTTCTAAAAACTAAAATTAAATACTTTTTGAATAACAAGATAAAGAATTGGAGGAAATCTATTAATCGGGGTTATTTTGAGTCAAACATAGGTTGTTGTCGTCAGTGATGGACCAAAATGAAAATCAACATAAATTACAGGGATGAAAAAACAAAAATAATAATTTTACAGGGATGTAAAACAAAATGTACTGTGAGCCCGTTTGGTAACATTAAAATCAGCTGAATCAGCTGATCTTGCTGAATTTTATGAAGTTCTGGCTGAAGTGGCTATATTAGCCGATTCTGCTGATTTATGAAAAAATTAAATTTATAATATATTTTATCAATAAAATACAAAAAAAATTATATGTAAAAATATTTAAAATGATCCTCTACAGTAACTTCAGCGGACACAATCAGAAAAGTAACTGCAATCTTACTTTTCTTATTATTACACGTGCGTGAAATCAAAAGTTACGTATTTAATGAAAAAATGGACTAATAAACTAGATAATCAAAAAACGGTGCTACTAAAAGGACCCTGTATATTTGCAACGATAAAAAACATACAGTATTTTAAAAAAGGAATAAAAGTAGAATGAATTCCGCATCTCACATTTCATTTCAAACTCTATCGCTAGGCAATCGTAGAGTCTGGACTCAATCATCATTAGAAAAACAAAAAGTAATCACTAATCAGTAGGCGAATTGTTGGCTCACCGTACTTTATGGGCAGAAAACTAAAAATCAGGCCCTAAACAGTGCGCACAATGTCAGTGGTGAGCTGATGGTATCACTCACTGCCTTACTCTCCATCTGGACACAACATTTTCCCTTGTTTTCTTCAATCTGTGAAATCCTGATTCCTACCTTGGAATCTCCGGCGGTTCCCTAAAACTTCAGGCCGGAAATCCCATCTATTTCTTACCAATCTCGCAAAAGGTAACAATGGATTTAGCGGATAGTAAGTTTTTGAATGTAGGCCTGCTGTTGATCGCCACTATTGTGGCGGCGAAGCTGATCGGCGCCCTAATCATCCCCAGATCCAGGAAGCGGCTGCCTCCGACGGTGAAATCGTGGCCTCTCGTTGGTGGGCTGATCCGGTTCATGAAAGGCCCGGTTGTGATGCTCCGAGAGGAGTACCCTAAGCTGGGGAGCGTCTTCACCCTCAACCTGCTCCACATGAAGATCACCTTCTTGATCGGGCCGGAGGTTTCGGCGCATTTCTTCAAGGCTCCGGAAACTGATCTCAGCCAGCAGGAGGTGTATCAATTCAATGTGCCCACTTTCGGGCCGGGCGTGGTGTTTGATGTGGACTACTCTGTCCGGCAAGAGCAGTTCAGATTCTTTACGGAGTCTCTTAGGGTCACCAAGTTGAAAGGTTATGTGGACATGATGGTCATGGAAGCTGAGGTATCATGATTAACTAATGCAGAGTATCTTTGATCATTTTTATCACTTAATTGTTCTGAATCTGTCTATATTCTGCTTCTCTTTCTGCACAGAACGAGCCATTGTTGCATAGTGTATAATCATACCACCCCAATTGTTGTATATTTTACCGTGATTTTGCTGAAACAAGCATTAACATGGAGTACTTGGCTAGTGAATTTGATGATAAAAAGATTAATTTTGAAAATTTTCAACCAAACACACTCGCACTTATTTGGCTGCTGAATCTTATAAGGAGTAATAAAAAAGTAATCTTGAAGATGTTTTTCTTTTTAGTAAAAAAAGAAATTCCCCATAATCTTGAAGATGTTTTTCTTTTAAGTGAAATGAAAGATGAAAGATCAAAAGTAATTTTCTACCAAACATTGTGCACACGCGCACGCATTTATTTGGTTGCTGAACCTGATAGTAAAAAGTAATCTTTGAAGATGTTTTTTTGACTTAAAAGGTAAAAGTAGTTTTATACGGAGTACAAAACACCCACACACACTTACTCCGTATTTGGTTAGCTCAATCTGATAATAAAAAAAAGTAATTTGAAGTTGTCTTTTTGACTGAACCGTAGACAAAAGGTAAAAGTGAATAAGAATTTCTACCAAATACACATATGTCGTATAAAATTTTGATATTTTTCTAGAAAACTATCAAGTACTATTTCAAATATTACTCCGTGCATTTCTACATCCATCAAAAGAGCTGGCTTTCTGATGCTAAAAATAAATAATTAATACTTCTTCCGTCACAAAAAAAGATTCAAGTTTGTATCGCTGATGTCAGTGTTACAAAGATGACTCTTTTTTGTCATGGAGGTATTGTTACTAACCTATTCAGCCATTTCAGTTACTCTTTAATCATTTAAGCCATTTTTGCCTAAGGTGATCCTCATTAATTGGGCTATAAATCACGCCCAATGTTTCAAGTTTTCTGTATCTTCGCACTTGAAAGGTTGAAATCATTAACCTAGACCTGTAACATAGTTCTTCAGTGTTTTGGTATTTATAACTGAACACATCAAATGATCTCTTACATCTAGTACTATATTTGTCTTGTGGGACAGTGGGAGTAGGAGAAGTGTTTCTAATATCCACTCCTCTCAAGCTGTGACTAAAGTGTAGAACTTTGATGGTTGTAGGTAATGATTCAAATCACAAAATGTCACATATTTGTTGTGATAAAACCATTTCTTGTTTTATTTTTGCTCTCATAGAGAACGATCTATGCACTGGAGAAATGGAAGGGTGAGAGGCTGAGATGTGGATGTATTTCTGATACACTTTCATCTATGGGGAAATCACACTTTCAATCTCTCAAGTAGTGTCCACATTGAATCTCTCAATTGTTGTCTGGATTGTTGTAACTGTAGTCCTCCGGTCCTCCCCCACATTGTAAATGTTACCCTTCAAAGGACCACATTTACAACAACTTGGACTATTGGGAGGTGACATTTGCAAACTTGAAGCCAAGGGGACTGCATTTCAATGTGGGTACTATTTGAGGGATTGAAAGTGCAATTTCCCCTCCATTTATTGAACTTAACTACTTATATAATTGGATGGAGTAGAAGAAGCGGCAAAGGATACTATGGTGTATTTGGTAAATCTTTTCAGTTTATTATTATATGCATATTGGATTACAAGTTCACAACGATCGAAATCAGTTTTTGTTTGCTAAAGATTTATGAAAGTGGTTCGGAAGTACTTAATTTCATTTGGGTGCAACAAATTCCTTCTGTCCAAGCTAAAGTATTATGGTAATAGTTGAAAGAAAAAATTAAGATTTGAAAAGTAATTGCGCAATAAAAAGTTGTTCTCATAAAAGTAAAATGTCCCCAAACATGAATAGATTTCTAAAATGGGATGAAAATGTAGGCTCCCAAACAAGCTCTACTCCTCTAAGTGTTATGGCTTATAGCCATTGAAATACAAAGCTGGGTGTAGATCTCATTTTCACAAGATCAAACATTGCCTTTTTTTAATTAAGCAATATACTTGTACTTGATCCGTGCAGGACTACTTCTCCAAATGGGAAGACAGTGGAGAAGTGGATTTAAAATATGAACTGGAACACTTAATCATACTGACAGCTAGCAGATGTCTGTTGGGAGAAGAAGTTCGTAACAAGCTATTCGAAGATGTGTCTGCTCTATTCCATGACCTGGACAGTGGCATGCTCCCGATCAGTGTCATCTTCCCTTACCTACCCATCCCAGCACACTGGAGGCGTGACCGGGCCCGCAAGAAGCTCGCTGAGATCTTCACAAGCATCATTTCTGCTCGCAAAAAAACAGGAAAGTCAGAAAATGACATGTTGCAGTGCTTCATAGACTCCAAGTACAAAGATGGACGACAAACAACAGAATCTGAAGTCACTGGTTTACTCATTGCTGCTTTGTTTGCTGGCCAGCACACTAGTTCCATTACCTCAACTTGGACAGGGGCATACCTTCTTTGCAATAGTAAACACATGTCAGCTGTGTTGGATGAACAGAGGGGTTTGATGAAGAAACATGGGATGAATAAGGTTGACCATGATGTTTTGTCAGAGATGGATGTGATGTACAGATGCATAAAGGAAGCTTTAAGACTCCACCCTCCTTTGATAATGCTTCTACGAAGCTCTCACAGTGATTTCTCCGTGACAACCAAACAGGGCATTGAGTATGACATTCCCAAGGGCCATATAGTGGCAACATCACCTGCTTTTGCTAATCGGCTCCCGCATATTTATAAAGACCCGGACACATATGATCCAGACCGGTTTGCTCCAGGAAGAGATGAAGACAAGGCTGCTGGACCGTTCTCGTACATATCGTTTGGTGGTGGCAGGCATGGGTGCTTGGGGGAGCCATTTGCATATTTACAGATAAAGGCAATATGGAGTCACTTGGTGAGGAATTTTGAATTGGAACTAATATCACCGTTTCCAGAAATTGACTGGAACGCCATGGTGGTGGGTGTCAAAGGGAAGGTCATGGTGAGGTACAAGCGTTGCAAGCTTTCGGTTGAATGAATGCCAAACATCATTATTATTGCATGATCCTACCATTGGTCAAGTCATCTATGTTTAGCTTGTTCCTCTTGCTGATTTGATTGTTTAGCGTCTTGAATCTTGATGATTCCCCTCTCCCCCTTCCAGAGAAAATCATTCTAGTAACTTGAGCTTGATGTTGGTTTGTAATTTGAGGTAGTCATCTATTTGTGGGCAACTCTGAGTGAATATTTTTTATGCAGTCTTGTTTTCCAATTGTTCGTTCTTTAGTCTTGCAAGAATAAAATCACAAAAAAAACATCGAAATAAACCTTTTGGGCTCCGGGCCTTAACCGGGGCAATTTTTTTGGGTTAAGGCCTGGTACTGGCCCGGGATTCTACAGGGACCGGGCTGGGTCCGGGTCAGACCAGGTTGGGTCCGGATCGGACTAGGTCATTTAATTTCTTTTCTAGCTTTTCTAATTTATTCTTACCCCCCCACCCACCCCCAAACCCCGCCAAAATACCCAGCCCAACCCACCTAGCATAGGCCCAAACCCCCCCCCAAAAAAATGGCTCGGATCGGTCCCGGATCAGCCGGTTCCCCTTTTTCAGGACCCGTAGCCCGCCTCTAAAACCCCCTGGTTCGGGCCCGCTCGAACCAGTCCCGGTCCCGGTTGGCGGGCCAGGCCGGTACTAAACAGTACCAGTTCGGGCCGGTCGAACTGTCCCAGTCCATACCTAGCTTACAGGCAAACCATTTGATCTTATTTTGCTTATCAATAGAATGGGCAAGTGTGACCTTTGATTCACTCACTCATCGAACTAAAATCGATTTTACCAAACCTTGTTTCTTTATAAAAATTCATTGTTCAATCATTTCTGATAATAGACTGTTAATGAACAGCCGAACAGGAATGAAGCTCAAAATATATCAAGGTTTCTACTGTTCTTGTGAACAACAGATGGGTAAATAAACTAGAAATAATATATACAATGGGTTTCTGACTGTCTTCGGAGGGTTTGATAACTCTAAAAACAATGACAGCTCTTTCCGGTAGAAGATGTAATTGTTACTAATAGATACAAGTCATGCAACTATATACATATAGTGAAAAGTGGATGATGCTCTTCCTCAGCTTGGTATGATTTTCAAGAGCTCAATATCGAACAACAGTGTCTTGTCAATTAAACCTTGGTTTCTCAACACAAAATCCAATGCTCTCTGACCCTATAAACATGCAAGATCAATATCTTTTTAGATGGAAAGGATGAATAAGTTAATTCGATAACTCCCTAAAAACTAAAAAAAAAGAAATTAACAAAAAAAAACAAAGCGTGAGCCGTCACTCCCTTGAAAAAACTTAAAATTTTGAAAATAAATAATAAACACAGTGATTGCTATCACTTCCCTAAAAAATACAAACAAAAAAACAAAAACGAAAGTGTGAATGACATAACTCCCCTAACAACAACAAAACAACAGTCTCTATAGCCAGATAAGAAGCTGAATTACCGAAAATGTCAATGGACTTGGACCTTTCTTGTTGAAGTCATTATCAGGATATCCTAACTCAGGGGGAACTATGATCCTGCATTAGTGAAAGTGATTAAATAAAGTAGAGTTTCCAAAGTAAAATATCTGCATATTAGCAATACTCGTTAAGAAAGAAAGAAGCTTGAATCGAAGTCTTTGTTACAAAAACTATCACTTGATTTCATTGAAATGATTGACTCATTAAAAAATCCTATTGTCAAACTACTTGTCAACATCTAGCTTGCACCTTGAGATGCCAAGATGTGTAATGTGTTAGATACTTAGATGCAATAAAGACCACCCCCAGGTGAAATTTTTTCCTTATTGATTTTTTACTTGCTTTTACTCGTTTTTCATAAGGGAATATCTATTAGCTTAACCAGTAAGATCTCATACGATCTTTCAGTTAAACCCCAAAAAAACAATTGCAATCCCAAAGACAAAAGTTGGATTTTACAGATAAACTTTGCAATAAAACATATAATGTAATGATTGTAATCTGTTTCCAGAGCAACCATTGTAAAAACATAGGAAAAAGGTGTTGTTTACAAGATTATATGTGAGATATAGAGCACCTTCTAATGCCACCCACAGCCATGCCACTAATGGCTTCTTCAAATGCAGGAATCACCTGAATGTGAATAGCAAGATCAACAGTCAACACTGTCAGGCCTTATTCCGTTTAGCTAGAAATTGTTAGGGAAAGAATATACAGGAAAATCCGGAAAGACTGAAAATTTAGGGAAAACAAGAATAAATTCCAAAATCAATATAACAATTTTATGTATGAAGTATTTGTTTAAACTCATCATTTATCTATTTCTATTATATAAAGACTGACATCAAAATATGTGTCATCATCATCACTACCCCAGTACGGTGGGGTAGGGGGGATGTACGCATCCTTACCCCTGTACTAAAGCACTGAGAGACTGTTTTCGGATGAATCATGGTGAAAATCGCGTCGAAAATTGCATGAACTGATTGTTGCTTCATAACAAAGAAACGCAGACAGTTTAGTGAGCTATTTTGCTTTATTCAATCATATTCCCAAGCCAAAAAATAGTTAATGTGTGTGAATTTGAAAATTTAAACTCAAGTTTATCTTCATATTTTCAAAAGCTAAACCAACATAAAAACATTTTTGCAACTCTATGTGTTCCAAAAATAGCCTTGGAGAAACGAAGCTGGGAAAACATGATAAGGAACCGAGTGCACTAGCATTCTATGTCTCAACCATTAAATGATTGTATAATGTTATTATGCATTATATGACTTGTAAATATAGGAAATAAAGTGGAATGTAAGCTTCATGAAACGATGAAAAAACACTAACTAAAGGATGGTACATCGAGAACTCAAGATGCCATTATTAATGACTGTTTATCCTTGCTAGCCAACTTACACAACACATAACCACTACAATTTGTGAAAGAGAATATCTTACTTGGTCAGACCCTACTATGAATTTGTAGAAGTCCTTATCATCCCCCTGCACCATTATGAAGTACAATGATGCATATAATAAGTAGCCTGGCACACATTAACTAATGCAAACATTTCCCCACTAGTATTCTGAGGCTATACCTCAAAAGATCCACCCTTTGTCTTGTTACGAGCTTCAAATATGCGACCATAATATCCTATAGTATAACCATCCCAGTCAACCTAATGTGAAAATAATTTCAGAGATGAGCACTACTTTTCTTTCAACCAAAATAAAGCACTAGCAAGTGCATGGAATATATGCAATAAAATCGTAATTTGCTTTGAACGGCGAAATGGTAAACCAAAAATTAACCCGCAACCTAATAGGAGAATATTCGTAACCATGTCAATATGGCTTTCTGACACAAAATAAAAAATGGCCATAATCACCTTAACACCAAATTATTTTTGGGTCAGTGGCATCAAATTACAGGGTCAATTATTTGTCTAAAGTGAGATACGCAATCAACACTACTAGTTGACTTGACACATAAAAGGACAGTGAGTCAGTGACAATGTTTTACGCTGTATGTCCACCCTCTTGCAAATACTAAAACATATATGGAGAACATTTTTACTACATATGTCCATTATATAAAGAATTGTGAAGAAGTGAATAACTTATCTAACACTCTTCTTTTTCCCATCCACAGTATTTCCAAAATCCAAATATACACCATATGTATTTCTACTTGCATAAATAATATAGGGCCTCTTTGGTAGAGAGTGCGAATAAGAATCAAATCTCACAATATAATAATGTGAAGGGTAATATTTTCCGTCTGGTGTCCTATCATAGTATCCACCTTTAATTTTTTAAATTTCATAAATAATCTCTTGGATCACATGAACTGACCTATTCAATCCAAGATTCGGGATAAGCAAGCTTGGACAGGAACACATAACAAACTCTACAGCACACCAATCTGTCACTACCAAGGACTTATAACTAAACACACACAAAAACTTACACTAAACTGATGTCAAACTTGCTTAAACTGATGATATTTCTCGAAGTGCGCACAAAATAAGAAACACTCTACCAAATTTAGCCAATTAAGTTAACTTGGCCCGCTTAGGGGGTACGATTTTCCTTGAGAAGAATAGTCTCATGGGCTCTTTGAAAATTTTTCCATTTGCATTTCTGTAGAAAAAAGGCTTCCTCTTTTTCTGAACTGCCTTCATTTTTGCTTTTTCTATGAGTTCATTATATTATGCATGTATTACAACTTATCTTTCAAGAAAACACTAGATGTTCTATAGAAAGTGATTTTCTAAGAATCAAATGAAGCACTATGTACACCGCTTGATATGACTGGACAACCACAGTGAAACACAGAAAGGCTAAAAGGGTACTATGTTAGTTACTTCATAAATAGGCATATAACATTACCAGCTTACCACCACTATATCTCCCGTCTTAGGATTGGGGCCACTTCCAACTTTCAGATCCTGCATGCTTTTACACACGAGTCAAGTTAATTTCTTTCCACACAAATAAACATGAGGCTAGAACATAATTATGCTTCGAAACAGGTGACCTTGTACTGGAGACCTGAACTTGTTTCTGTGTAGTCGGGGGTAACGCATCTTTGACTTCCCATAGTCCTTTCCCCGCAATGCTGGCACTGTATATTCATAAGGGAACAATAGATGGGCTTTTAAAGCTAGTATAGGCATACATACTATCAAGCAATACACACAGACACACATATTTATGTATGTACATGGATGAGAAATTTAAGGCCGAGAACCACACCGAATACGATTAGTCAGTTTGGTCAGTTTTTTCCGGTTGATTTTGGTCAGTTTTAGAATGTTTTGGTCGATTTAAGTCGGTTTTGAAAGATTTGGTCAGTTCTTATGGGCAAACATCAAACCATGAGCCAAACCACTATGTTTGGTCAGTTTTATTGGTTTTGGCTTTGATCAGTTTTGTGTGAAATATATATGTATGCGTGTGCCAAAAGCAAATCCAAACTCATGAGTCATGAATCACAGCTATTACATGCCTTTAAAGAAGGAAAAGTGAATGGTAATCTGATTTTTTTTTCTTTTTTTCCTCATTGCACGAATATTAATAATAATGGCCTAAAAAGGTGAGGACAAAAATTAAGACATAAAATTGAAAGTAGGAATTGGAGTTACTGTCAGCAAATTGAGATGCTAATGCAGCTCCATTGCTTCTAGAAGTGTAAACAGCTGCTGCAAACAACCCAATGGACGACCAAAATAGCTCTCTTCTACCGATGGGAGGCGGGTTCGGTCCGTTCGGACAACAATCCAAGCTTCCACTATT